AAGGAGAAGGATGAGAAGAAGGAGAAGGATGAGAAGAAGGAAGGATGAGAAGAAGGAGAAGGATGAGAAGAAGAAGAAGAAGGATGAGAAGAAGGAGAAGGATGAGAAGAAGAAGAAGGATGAGAAGAAGAAGAAGGATGAGAAGAAGAAGAAGGATGAGAAGAAGAAGAAGGATGAGAAGAAGAAGAAGGATGAGAAGAAGAAGAAGGATGAGAAGAAGAAGAAGGATGAGAAGAAGAAGAAGGATGAGAAGAAGAAGAAGGATGAGAAGAAGAAGAAGGATGAGAAGAAGAAGAAGGATGAGAAGAAGAAGAAGGATGAGAAGAAGAAGAAGGATGAGAAGAAGAAGAAGGATGAGAAGAAGAAGAAGGATGAGAAGAAGAAGAAGGATGAGAAGAAGGAGAAGGATGAGAAGAAGAAGAAGGATGAGAAGAAGAAGAAGGATGAGAAGAAGAAGAAGGATGAGAAGAAGAAGAAGGATGAGAATGAGAAGATGAGAAGAAGGAGAAGGAGAAGAAGAAGGAGAAGGATGAGAAGAAGGAGAAGGATGAGAAGAAGGAGAAGGATGAGAAGAAGGAGAAGGATGAGAAGAAGAAGAAGGATGAGAAGAAGGAGAAGGATGAGAAGAAGAAGAAGGATGAGAAGAAGGAGAATTCCAAGCCGGCAAAAAGTGTATCTGCAGAGCTCCGCTATTTCTTAGCGGAGCTCTGCAGATACACTTAGCGGAGCTCTGCAGATACACTTTTTGCCGGCTTGGAATTCTTCTTATTTTCATCCTACTTCTTCTTCTTCTTCTTCATCCTCAGAAGAAGAAGAGGATGAGGATGAGGATGAAGAGAAGAAGAAGAAGAAGAAGTAGGATGAAAATAAGAAGAATTCCAAGCCGGCAAAAAGTGTATCTGCAGAGCTCCTCTATTCTGCAGATACACTTAGAGGAGCTCTGCAGATACACTTTTTGCCGGCTTGGAATTCTTATTTTCATTATACTTCTTCTTCATCCTCATCCTCTTCTTCTTCTTCTGAGGATGAGGATGAAGAAGAAGAAGAAGTAGTAGGATGAAAATAAGAAGAATTCCAATCTGCAGATACACTTTTTGCAGATACACTTTTTGCCGGCTTGGAATTCTTCTTATTTTCATCCTACTTCTCCTTCTTTCTTCATCCTCATCCTCAGAAGAAGAAGAGGATGAGGATGAGGATGAAGAAGAAGAAGTAGTATGAAAATAAGAAGAATTCCAAGCCGGCAAAAAGTGTATCTGCAGAGCTCCTCTATTTCTGACAGTTCTATGTCAGAGAACTGTCAGAAATAGAGGAGCTCTGAAGATACACTTTTTGCCGGCTTGGAATTTTTCTTATTTTCATCCTACTTCTTCTTCCTCATCCTCATCCTCTTCTTCTTCTTTCGAGGATGAGGATGAGGATGAAGAAGAAGAAGAAGTAGGATGAAAATGAGAAGAATTCCAAACCGGCAAAAAAAGTGTATCTGCAGAGCTCCTCTAAGTGTATCTGCAGAATAGAGGAGCTCTGCAGATACACTTTTTGCCGGCTTGGAATTCTTCTTATTTTCATCCTACTTCTTCTTCTTCATCCTCATCCTCAGAAGAAGAAGAAGAAGAATGAGGATGAGAAGAAAGAAGAGGATGAAGGATGAAAAGAAGAAGAAAAGAAGAAGAAGAATGAAAAAGAAGAAGAATGAAAAGAAGAAGAAGAATGAAAAGAAGAAGAATGAAAAGAAGAAGAAGAATGAAAAGAAGAAGAATGAAAAGAAGAATGAGAAGAATGAAAAGATTCTTCTTCTTTTCATTCTTCTTCTTTTCATTCATTCTTCTTCTTTTCATTCTTCTTTTCATTCTTCTTCTCATTCTTCTTTTCATGAAGAAGAAAAGAAGAATGAGAAGAATGAAAAGAAGAATGAGAAGAATGAAAAGAAGAATGAAAAGAAGAATGAAAAAAGAAGAAGAATGAAAAGAAGAATGAAAAGAAGAAATGAGAAGAATGAAAAGATTCTTCTTCTTCTTTTCATTCTTCTTTTCATTCTTCTTGAAAGAAGAAGAAAAGAAGAATGAAAAGAATGAAAAGAATGAAGAAAAGAAGAATGAAGAAGAAGAAGAAGAAAAGAAAGAAGAAAAGAAGAATGAAAAGAAGAAGAAGAAGAAGAATGAAAAGAAGAAAAGAAGAAGAAAAGAAGAAGAAGAATGAGAAGAAGAAGAAGAAGAAGAAGAATGAAAAGAAGAATGAAAAGAATGAAAAAGAAGAATGAAAAGAAGAATGAAAAGAAGAATGAAAGAAGAATGAAAAGAAGAATGAAAAGAAGAATGAAAAGAAGAAGAAGAAGAAGAAGAAGAAGAAGAAGAAGAAGAATGAAAAGAAGAAGAAGAAGAATGAAAAGAAGAAGAAGAAGAAGAAGAAGAAAAGAAGAAGAAGAAGAAGAAGAAGAAGAAGAAAAGAAAAAAGAAGAAAAGAAGAAGAAGAAGAAGAAGAAGAAGAAGAAGAAAAGAAGAAGAAGAAGAAGAAGAAAAAGAAGAAGAAGAAGAAGAATGAAAAGAAGAAGAAGAAGAATGAAAAGAAGAAGAAGAAGAAGAATGAAAAGAAGAATGAAAAGAAGAAGAATGAAAAGAAGAATGAAAAGAAGAAGAATGAAGAAGAAGAAGAAGAAAAGATGAAAAGAAGAAAGAAGAATGAAAAGAATGAAAAGAAGAATGAAAAGAAGAATGAGAAGAATGAAAAGATTCTTCTTCTTCTTTTCATTCTTCTTTTCATTCTTCTTCTCATTCTTCTTCTTTTCATTCTTCTTTTCATGAAGAAGAAAGAAGAAAAGAAGAATGAAAAGAAGAATGAAGAAAAGAAGAATGAAAAGAAGAAGAATGAAAAGAAGAAGAAGAAGAAGAAGAAGAAGAAAAGAAGAAGAATGAAAAGAAGAAGAAGAAGAAGAAGAATGAAAAGAAGAATGAAAAAAGAAGAATGAAAAGAATGAAAAGAAGAATGAAAAGAAGAAAAGAAGAATGTAAAGAAGAAGAAGAATGAAAAGAAGAATGAAAAGAAAGAAGAAGAATGAAAAGAAGAAGAAGAAGAAAGAAGAAGAAAGAAGAAGAAAAGAAGAAGAATGAAAAGAAGAATGAAAGAAGAAGAATGAAAAGAAGAATGAAAAGAATGAAAAGAAGAATGAAAAGAAAAAAAGAAGAATGAAAAAGAAAAGAAGAATGAAAAGAAGAAGAATGAAAAAGAAGAAGAAAGAAAAGAAGAAGAAGAAGAAGAAGAAGAAGAATGAAGAAGAAGAAGAAGAATGAAGAAGAATGAAAAGAAGAATGAAAAGAAAAAGAAGAAGAATGAGAAGAATGAAAAGATTCTTCTTCTTCTTCTTTTCATTCTTCTTTTCATTAAGAAGAAAAGAAGAATGAGAAGAATGAAAAGAAGAAGAATGAAAAGAAGAATGAGAAGAAGAATGAAAAGAAGAATGAAAATGAAAATGAGAAGAATGAAAAGAAGAATGGAAAGAAGAAGTATTCCAGTACAGCAAAAAGTGTATCTGCAGAGAGCTCCGCTATTTCTGACAGTTCTCTGACAGTTCCTTCACATGTACAGCGGTTGAAACATTGTATCTATTTATTTCCGAATAAAAACATCTGTATCCTAAATGGAAACAAATAGATACAATGTTTCAACCGCTGTACATGTGAAGGAACTGTCAGAGAACTGTCAGAAATAGCAGAGCTCTCTGCAGGGACACTTTTGCCGGCTGATCGGGAAAAATCAATTTGCGCACCCGAATTATGCAAATATTCGGATTCGACGCGAATCAAATTTTTCCTGAAATTCGAAACGAATTCCACTTCGCCTGGTTCGATTCGCTCATCTCTATCTGTCTTCATTTTGTAAAGCGCTGCACAAACTGTTGGTCCTATATAAATCCAGTATAATAATAATACCATTCTGTTGTGTTTATTTTTATTTTCAGGCTCATACTTTATATTGAACACAAGCAAACTGAGAGGTAACGTTAGATCTCAAATGAAAAAACAAACAAACATGAAATCAGATAAATAGTGCAAAAATAAAATATGACCAAACTGTACATTGGGTGTAACATATGTGCAAAAACAAATGCAATCTCACAATATGCAAAGTGAAGCAAAACATTACCCACTTTAGTACCATTGCTATAGCTGAAAGAAGGCAAACGCTCAGCTCTCTTGAGGGCCTGCATCAGGTGATCTAAACAACCCTCTCAACAATACAAGCACTGGACAGGGATATGTTATTGGCTAATAAACAACAGACTAATGGTGATGTTGATAGATTTGCTTGGTCTTTGATCACAACTTTTTCTTCTGAACATTTTGGTATCAAAATAATTTTTTAAGAAACATTGACCAGTGCTTAAAAATTACAGGATTCTCGGGACAGTGTTACCCAAAAAGCCCACCGGAATCTTTAGGGGTGCTGCTTCTATAAAAAAAAAAAATTGAATTGCACCCAATGTCATTGACCCAATCAGCAAACCCACTTTCCTTCACAATTTGCAAGGTTTTTTTTCCTCTGCAGGAGGTGTGGTTTGTGCCAGTACAGACGTGCATGACTGAAAATGTTTTATTTCATTTGCTAAGTACCGTATTTTTCGCTCCATAAGACGCACTTTTTTCCCCCCAAAAAAGGGGGGAAAATGTCAGTGCGTCTTATGGAGCGAATGTAAAGCGGCCCGGTCCAGTATTTCTGCCGCCACCATGTCAGAATATCGGGCCGGCCGCTTAGCTCTTCTCTCCTGCAGGACCTTACCAGTTCCTCGCTCCAGCGCTGCAGTCTTCCCGCGGCGGCTTCTGTGACAGCCGGGTGCCCACTGCGCATGCGCAAGCAGCACCGTACTTTGTGAATGGTCCGGTGTCTTCTGGGACACATGGCAGGTCCCAGAAGGCTCCGGGCCATTCACAAAGCGCAGCGCTTCTCACGCATGCGCAGTGGGCACCCGGCTGTCACAGAAGCCACCGCGGGAAGAAGGAAGGACAACTCCGCGGAAGTGGGAGCGGGTACCTGTCAAATTCAGGTACCGTTCCCCCTCCCTCCCCAAAGGTCCGCAGTCTCTGGTCATCCCCTGTACTGTGTCCGCAGTCTCTGGTCATCCCCTGTACTGTGTCCGCAGTCTCTGGTCATCCCCTGTACTGTGTCCGCAGTCCATTGGTCATCCCCTGTACTGTGTCCGCAGTCCATTGGTCATCCCCTGTACTGTGTCCGCAGTCCATTGGTCATCCCCTGTACTGTGTCCGCAGTCCATTGGTCATCCCCTGTACTGTGTCCGCAGTCCATTGGTCATCCCCTGTACTGTGTCCGCAGTCCATTGGTCATCCCCTGTACTGTGTCCGCAGTCCATTGGTCATCCCCTGTACTGTGTCCGCAGTCCATTGGTCATCCCCTGTACTGTGTCCGCAGTCCATTGGTCATCCCCTGTACTGTGTCCGCAGTCCATTGGTCATCCCCTGTACTGTGTCCGCAGTCCATTGGTCATCCCCTGTACTGTGTCCGCAGTCCATTGGTCATCCCCTGTACTGTGTCCGCAGTCCATTGGTCATCCCCTGTACTGTGTCCGCAGTCCATTGGTCATCCCCTGTACTGTGTCCGCAGTCCATTGGTCATCCCCTGTACTGTGTCTGCAGTCCATTGGTCATCCCCTGTACTGTGTCTGCAGTCCATTGGTCATCCCCTGTACTGTGTCTGCAGTCCATTGGTTCAGAATATTTTTTTTCTTGTTTTTCTCCTCTAAAACCTAGGTGCGTCTTATGGAGCGAAAAATACAGTAAATCATTATGTTAAAATAATTTGTTTTCAGAACGATTCATTATTTCAGAAGTGTATTAATTCATTGTTCCTAAACAATTCACATTTTTGGAAGTTCTGTTCTTTCTGCCGTTCAGAAAATTGGCTATATCCCTGCTAGTCCAACCCACAAAGACAAATGGAATAAGCTGATTGGACAATGTCAACTGGAGCAGTGTTCATTCAAAAGTAATGAATTGAACAAAATAATTTTGGATTCATTTGCTGTATTATGATTTGAAGATTCTGATGGACCCACCTTCATCCAACCCAAACACAATAAGTATCATCTTATTTCCCTTTTATACCTTACTATATTTATTGCAAATTGTTTCCATTTCATATATAGTATATTTTTTTTATAATAATGAAAAATGTTAATGCAAAAAGAATTGGCTGCAAAAGTCAAAAGACTACCACCCCGCTCTTAACTGAATAAAGCAAATGAATCCAAAATAATACGTATTAATTCACTATGGTCACCCCCTCCTCCTCAAAAAACTACACTCCCTCGGCCTCAGAGATTCTGCTCTCTCCTGGCTCTCATCCTACCTGTCACAACGCTCCTTCAGCGTTACCTATAATGCTACCACCTCCCCCTCACTCCCCCTCTCTGTTGGGGTCCCTCAAGGCTCTGTCCTTGGGCCCCTTCTCTTCTCCATCTACACCTCCTCCCTTGGCCAACTCATACACTCTCACGGCTTCAACTACCACCTCTATGCCGACGACACACAAATCTATCTCTCAACCCCCCACCTCACCCCCTCGGTCTCCGCCCGAATCACACACCTGTTGAGCGACATATCAGACTGGATGTCGCTCCACTTCCTTAAACTGAACCTCTTCAAAACCGAGTTTCTTGTCTTCCCTCCAGCCCGGACACCACCCCCCATTGACTTCTCCATCATGTCCAACAACGCCACCATCAAACCCGCCCCGCAGGCCAGAGTACTTGGTGTCATTTTGGACTCCAACCTATCCTTCCAGCCCCAAGTCCACTCTTTAACAAACTCGTGCAGACTCCACCTCCGCAACATCGCCCAAATCCGCACGTTCCTAACTCCAGAAACCACTAAACAGCTCATCCACTCCCTCATCATATCACGACTCGACTACTGCAACTCCCTCCTCACTGGCCTGCCTCGCCGCTGGCTATCCCCGCTTCAGTCCATCCTGAATACGGCTGCCAGACTCATTCACCTTTCCAACCGCTCAGTTTCCGCCACCCCCCTCTGCCAATCCCTCCACTGGCTTCTGATTGCGCAACGGATCAAATTCAAAATCCTAACGCTGACGTACAAAGCTGTCCACCATACTGCCCCAAATTACATCACTGACCTAATATCCAAGTACCGCCCAGCACGCACACTCCGCTCCTCACAAGACCTCCTTCTCTTTAGTTCCCTGGTCTCCTCCTCCCATGCCCGCCTCCAGGACTTCTCCAGGGTGTCACCCATCCTCTGGAACTCCCTGCCCCAACCCATCAGGATTATCACCTACTCTCCTCTCCTTTAGGCGCACCCTGAAAACCCATCTCTTCAGGGAAGCCTACCCCGCCCCCTGCTAACTTGCCGACCTCCTCCACTCTTCCTACCACTCCATCCCCCACAGCTATCTCCTCCTGTGCCACCATCCCCTCCCTCCTAGATTGTAAGCTCGAAAGAGCAGGGCCCTCGATCCCCTCATGTTTTGCATTGTATTGGTATTGTTCTGTCACATGTTCTGTTCCCTTCTGTAATGTACAGCGCTGAGCAAACTATTGGCGCTTTATAAACACTGTATAATAATAATAATAATAATAATAATGTTCTTAGGTTGAATTAATTTCCCCATTCCAAACTGACTTTTTGACTGCGTCTGATTGGTGCAACCCCAATACAAACAGAAACTCATTAGAATATTCATGCTGCGCTCACTGAAATAAAAATGAATGGACCCAAATCAATTTATATATCATTTGTTATTTCATTATGTTATTTTGGACGCTTCACACTAACAAAAGGCCAAACTATCGCATCATGTCATCCGAAAGGAACAAATAAATTCTTTGTTTTCGTTATAATTTATTTCAGACTTGTTGAAATTCGTAACTACTGTGATTTGGAGGTTCAGATACATTCGAATTTCTGAATCACGCAAATTCCAATTCGTAACAAAAAGAATCACACGTCTATTTGCCTGTGCAATGCCCTTAAAAAGAAGAAAGTGTCCTCTTTCCAATCTAATACTATAGGTGCATCTTATGACATTTAACTATTCATTACTTTTGCCACGAAAAAGTTGTTTATTTACTGCAGTGGCCATGTGGCCTTCAGTAGGTGGGGAGGACCACTACACCCCAATAGATAAGATTAGGAGAGCACAGCGGTAATATCAAAATCTTGATCATCCAGTGGCTAAGTAGGGCTGTAAAATTTGGTCAATATAATCCACACCACCCGTGAACTGATTGTAGTCGCGTATGCAATCAGGTTTGTGTACTAGACTCTGTGTCCCTTGATTTCCACTGAGGTGTCATTGTAGATCTACACATCCAGTTTATCCCTCCAGTTATGGGCCAAAATCTCTTAATTCCGCAAACTAGCCAACTCCCTCCTTTTCAGGTTTGTGGTGATCTTTGTGGGAAGCCATTGCGGTTTGGCTGCACTAAACCACAGCCTAAAGTTTTCTGGGAGGTAAAGATGGCAGAAAAGGGCAGGCTTGGGGTAAAGTTGTCCACGTAGTAGTTGTAACCTGTTTGGAATAGTGGCAATACAAGGTTCCACACAATTTTTCCACTGGGGCTCCAGCTGAATGTCCTTTCCTTCCTAAACTCAGAAGTTTTATGTGAACCCTTTGCCATTTTACAAAGTTTGTATAACCTCATCAGATATCTGGCCCTTTTGCTTGAGGTGTACTGTTTGATGACCAGCCTGCGATTAAAATGGATGAGGCACTTGTCTACACAGATAAGTTTGTCAGGAGTATACAAAAAAAATTGAGGTAAAATATCTGTGGCCTAATTTTATGAAGCTCATCTTATTCAGGGTGATTTCAGGGAGGGCACAGGGAACGGTCGAAGTGCAGAAATACAGGAATAAAGTGACATATGGTGAATGGTTTGTGGACAAATAGGACTGTAGTTTATTTTTTGTGAATCCCATATTTAGTGCGAGACGAAACAGAGCTGAGGTTTTTTGGTAATATACTGCTGGGCATAAAGACTGCATTGGTCCACAACTGACTTGAAAAACAATTCTGTGAAAATTTTACAAAATGAATGGGCATAAAATTTTAGTTTCTGCCTGAATGCCTGGCTGAGTTTTACAACCCCAAATTTTCTACTTTTTCTAATTTAGCATCCTCCATGTGCTCTTTTTAACCTCTTTTCTGTAACTATGATTTAAAGTGTTACTAAACCCTCAGCAGTAAAATCAGTATGAATTAGTAAAGCATGCTTGTTATACTCACTGTAGAATCTAAGGGGTTAATTCTCTGTATTGTGTAAAGGCTTTTTGATTCTGACTTCTCTGATCCTCCTCTTCTTCCAGTGTCCCCCTCTTATCGCCTGATAAGGCTTAGCATGTGGAGGCACTCTACACATGCTCAGTTTGGTGTGTAGTGCTAGAGGCAGGCGCGGACTGCCCGAGGGCCCGGAGACAGTAGGGGGCCCCATGAGATGCCCCTAGTACCTTTCACAGGCTTTTTTGGATGTGGTTTAAGTGTGGATGAGGACACAGGGGCCCCATGATCCCATATTGCCCGGGGGCCCCATGAGTTGTCAGTCCGCCCCTGGCTAGAGGTTTTTTTTTTTTTCTTGCGTGTGATCAGCACAGGGCCAATCAGCACTGTCCAGACAGAAGTCAGGGGTTCTGTAATCCTCCTAGAGAAGAAAGAAAACTCATCCTACAAGATTTAACATGTGCTCTGCTGGACAGTGATAGAAGTACCAAGACTGCACTAACTGCTGATGAGAAAAGGTATTTAGTAGTTTATATTTACTAAAATAATTGCACTTCCATGTTCTGTGTACTGTGGGAGATGAGATATAGTGAATGCAGGGTCCTGGGTTTAGTATAACTTTAATTATATTTATATTAGAAGTATATGTTTATTTTTTTGAAAGACGGTTTACATGTTTAACACAGTGATAGTGAGAAAAGTGGCACACACACTTGTCAGTGATAAACTAATAAAAATGATGTTAAATAACATCTATCCCAAACAATAAGTCAACAAACAAAATCCCAAAGAAAAAGTCAATGTGTAGGAGAAAGTTGTTCGAAGTCTGAATCCAACTCCACATATCCTAAAGTCCACCACGTGATCAAAAAAATTCAGTGGTAAAAAACAGTGGTCACATTGCGCCCCCACATGGGTGTGCACTTACCAGTGCTCTATTGTCCTCTGCTTTGGCAGGTGAAAAAGAGGGCTTTAACTGGTAAGCGTTATATTCTCTCCTTAGTACAGGAGGTGAAAGGAGTCCCCAATATTCACTTATTCAGCCACCTGGACCCAAGGATCTTACAAAGTATCCGATGACACTCCATTTGCAACCATGTCATGTAAATAGAAAAGGAACAAGGCCCGCTCCAATGGTGTAGTAGAAATATACCAAATACTTTAGTAAGTGTTCTTGCATGGCAAGACCACTTACTGTTATCTCACATATATATTCCTATTATTATAGCCAAATTTACCACCCTAACTCCTCCCACAGTTTTTACACTACATAGGAATACACCGAAACATGCAGATTGTTCCCGATTGGTGTGCTATTACTTTGTGAAACGTTTCGCCGTATGGTTCACGAAATATCAACGTTTTTTTGTGGTGAAATTGGTTCCATAGGAATGAATGGCAGAATGTTCAAAACTAGAGTGTGGGAGCTGAAAAATCAGGACATGATTTCTAAACTGCCATCACTCTCTAATTTTCAAGGCCACCTACACAAATCTTATATCAAAACGTTCAGCTATCCCTGCTGCCACTACAAATGTCCACGGCTAAGCCATAGTTCTGATAGTTTTTACAATATGACCATTTGTTTGCAACTCACGCTGCCCATTGACATTCATTGACCATGTGGGGGTGCACTGTGACCACTGTTTTTTACCACTGAATTTTTTTGATCACGTGGTAGACTTTAGGATATGTGGAGTTGGATTCGAACTTCAGACAACTTTCTCCTACACATTAATGACTTTTTCTTTGGGATTTTGTTTGTTGACTTATTGTTTAGAATAGATATATGTTATTTAACATCATTAGTATTAGTTTATCACTGATAAGTGTGTGCGCCACTTTTCTCACTATCACTGTGTTTTGTGGTATTTGATCACCTGTGCGGTTTTTTATTTTTTGCGCTATAAAAAAAAAAAAAAGGCTGACAATTTTGAGGACTTTTTGCTATAAAACATGTCCAGTAAAAAAAAAAATGCAAAAATCAAATTTAGTCATAAATTTCTGCCAAAATGCATTCTGCGATATGTCTTTGCTAAAAAAAAAACCCAATACGTGTAAATTAATTGGTTTACGTGAAAGTTATAGCGTTTACAAATGGCGGGAAAGATACTGGGATTTTTAGGGTTTTTTTTATACTAATAATGGAGGCGATCAGCGAATTATGGCGACGATCAGGGACTTATGGCAGCGACCAGCGACTTATGGCGGGACTGCGGCGGACAATCTGACATTGGGGGGTACTGACATCCCCAAAAACACTAATACAGTGATCAGTGCAAAAGAAAAAAAAAAACTGACACTGTACTAATGTCAATGGGAGGAAGGGGTTAACATTATTTAGCAGGAAAGGGTTATAGGAGTGAGGGGAGTGTTTTACTAGGGGGCAGGGGTGTGTACTGGACGGGACAAGGCTGATCGAGAAAGTGAAACTATTCTTTCTGGATCAGCTCATCCTCGAACTGACAGAGAGGTGACAGACAGCACAGCTACTGCAGCTGTGCTCTCTGTCACCGTTTACCGCCGATCACCGGGACATAGCCGCTAATGAGCAGCTGTGACCCGGCAACTGACATCTGCGGCGGTGATCCACAGGACAAATAGGGCGGCAGCGCGCCCCCTATTTGTTTACAAAACACACGTTTTAAACTGTGGTTTTGCCTGTGAGTGCCGCCCTGCCACCGTATCTGTACAGTGGCTGGGCGGCATGCGGTTAAGAGGATAAAACAATAATAATATTAAATGCACTTTTTTTGCAGTTAAAAAATGTGCATTTTTTTTTTTTTTTTTTTTTTTTTTAAGAACCAGGAAAGCCTTGCATCAGCAATCAGAAGATCACTGGTTCAATGCAGACTGTCAGTTTGTACATTATATAGGTAGGCAGTTTCACACTGACAGGAAGAATTAATGAACCACCAGGAAGAATTAATGAACTACCAGAGCGCTCAACAGCATCATGGTACTTCTTTGAGAACTACAAGCCGATATCCACAAAGGATGTCGGTACTTGTAGCCGATTCATTCACAGAACCTTGTGAATGAATGACATGGCAGTGCACTAAAAGTGGAACATGTAACGTTCCCAAAGAAGAACTTATCCTTTAACCCTTTCGCTGCCAGAGCCCTTTGGGTACTTTTTGTACACGTTTAAAAAAAATTACTTTCGGCCTGAAAACTACATAAACCCCAGAAAACAGATATTTTCAGAAAGCAAAACACCCTAGAGAATAAAAAAAGTGGTAGTAATTTTTTATGTCACCACAAAGGTAAAAAAGTACAAAACGCAGTAAATAGATGCCCAACATGTCAAATCTTAAATGTGTGTATCCTATATTTTCTATAGGTGACGCTTTTAAAGCTTCTATAGGTCATCAGTTTAGCGATATGGAGGAGGTCTGGTGCTAGAATAGATTGCTCTCATTCCGGTGTACGCAGCGATATATAACATATGTATCGCAACTGACATTTTTATGCATGGGTGCATTTACGTTTTTGCATATATGGGGGGGGGGGGGCTTTTTTTTTTTATGGGGGGGGGGGTTACATGCTTGTGTTTAACTTGGCAATTTCTTTACAAAAAAAAACCTCAGATATTTTTCTCTGAGACATCCAGGGTCTACAAGACCAGGGTCTGCAAGACCCTGCATGTTTCCCTTGTGTTACATTGAATGTAATTCAGTGCAGATCGCACTGCATTACATACATTCTTTCCCGGCTTTGATGGCCCGGAAATCTGTCAACAGGGACCTGGAAGAGACATGTATGACAAGAAGGGTAGAAAAGCGGACGTGTATCCACTTCTCTTTCCACCCCTCTACTAGTCAGAACTCTGCTGCACCGGTCACGGGCCTGCAGATGGGCAAGAAAGGCCGAGGATACATAGCAGGGGGGTAATGTTCAGGTGGGGGGGGGGGGGCAGGGTATGTAACTAGCACAGCGCAGTGTGTGGAAGCAAATCAGGCAGCACAAATTGTGCCATCATGAAGCCCAGTTTAGAAGCAGGGAGTGATGCAAGAATAAGTAGTAACTTTTTCATTGGGTGTTTTTCAAAGCTATAACCCTGCAATAGTAAGTAGGGGTCAGTTTGCTAAATGAGACAAAGTGTCACAGAATTTTTGCAATGAGTAAATGAATGGCATATTTAGATACAGAAAAAAGCACAGATACTCTATACTCTGTATGCTGTGCTGCAGTAGGTAGTTTTTTTTTGTTAATGAGCAATGAACAGCATTTCTTTGATGCAAAGTGCCTGAACACACAAAGGTTTTGGAACTGAAGTTGCAAAAACTACTTTAAAAAATAATTTGTCCTGTGAAAAAGACTGTTTAGATGACAAATTAAGACAGAAAATTTCCCATTTTTTTCCCTACACTTAAATAGCAGGTTTCGATTTCTTCAGACCACTACATGTCTATAGCCTTACTCTCAGCTGCCTAATTTAGTGAAGATAATTAATTTAATTCCTTCCGAGGAACACATGCATATTAAAGAAGAACTAAACCCATGGCTGTAACTGTTCCCAAAACAGTTATATTCAAGGCATGCTGTGAATGCTAACAGCCACATTTGCTTGAGTTCTCAACAAAATTGTCAAGCCATCAAAAGGCTAGTGTCATAAGTGATTACACATGCAGCACAACAGTAACTTCAGATCAAACAGGGGCTATGATGGCAGCTTCCTTAGCTGCAAAGGATAGGGAAGTTTAGTTGCACTTTAAACTGTAAAACAAAAGCCAAGGGGTTTTCAGTTGTTAGAAAAGAAAAAAAAAAAAAAAAAAAAAACAACTATCTACATGATTACATAGCTAACAAGGTTGAAAAAGACACAAGTCCATCCAGGTCAATTTATGTGTGTACTTTTTATTGTCTTGTGTATTCCACTTCTCCAGGAAGGCATCTTAAATTTGAAGTTGTCAACACTTTCAGGTGGTACTACTTCCTGTGATAAAGCAGTAAGAATGGGGAATGCCCTAAAAGTAAATAACCCTTTCTGCTATCTAAGGTTAAACCTTTTTTTCTTCTAACTTAAAATCATGACCATGTGTCCTCTTCAGGGACCCTAGAGAAAACAATGTATTACTTTGTTACTGGTGTCACCTTTGATATATTTGTACAGTGTAATCATTTGCCCTTTTAAGCGCCTCTTCTCCAGAGTGAATAACTGTAATTTATGTAATCAGCACTCAAAACTGATATCCCCCAAGCCCCTTATTAATTTTATTGCACTTAGCAGAACAACTTTTTTCACAAGGATTGGTAACCAAAGCTGAAAGCATTTTCAAGATGAGACTGAACTATTGTTGTGTAAAGGATTAGAATTATTAACGTATCTTTTGTATGTCTTTTTAGGCCTGGTTCCCACTGGTGCAACTGCAATTTCAGTCTATGTACAATGCGGTTATGTGGTGCAACTGTAATGCAAATTGGTGTGTTTATGACGTGAATATGATTATGACGTGATTTTCAGAATGGTGCGATTTCTGTTTTGGTCAATAATAATTATATCTTCTGTGACAAACATAAAAGGTGTCATCTTCCTTTTG